TTTTTTTTTTTTTTTTTTGAGATTCCTCGTAGATTTCCAATCTCTCGTTTTTTGTTTTTTCCATCCTTCCTTCTCGCATGCCGCCACCCCAGTAGTACAAATTTTTTGTTTTTTCCATCCTTCCTTCTCGCATGCCGCCACCCCAGTAGTACAAATTACCCGCCGCTTCCATGTACGGTAGAGTTATCCCAGTACAAATTACCCCAGTACAACCGCCCCCCCCCCCGCCCTTTCTATGTACGGTAGAGTTAGCCAGCGCGGAACCTGACCGGAATATTCTAATCTAACTAAGCACAGGTCGAAAGTGCTGCGACAAAAATAAAATAAAATGTGCTGCGACACCTTGTCCTCATGAACTTGATGCTCGAAGCTCGGTGCTCCACCGTGCTGAAGCTGTGAGAATGAAGGAATAACCTGGTGCTCCCACAGACCCAACCATTTTAAGCGGAAGTGCCAGATTCGTGTCGCGGGGAACTAGACAAGCTTCGGAAATTATGGTTGTTGTAACTTGTTGAGGTGCCCTGTGTTGTGCTGAGAGGGTAATACTATGCAATCATATTCCACCACATTGTGGGCAGTTATGTAATATGTACTTGGTCCAGGAGCAGGCAGAGTATGAGAGAGGGCCCTCAGCGAGGCAGGTATTTACAAGACCACGTGACTGTGAGGACTAGGCACAGAGTGAGACACAGCAGGACGCACAGGTAATGCGAACTGCGGCCCGATGAAGGAGGCGGGGCTGGATCGTGGAAGAAGGAAGAAGCATAAGAAAATGGATGCCTGATTCTGAGTAGCAGGCGGCAGCGGCAGCAGCTTTGGGACATGATCAATGAGGACGAGCAGGACGATGGGCAAGGAGGCCTTGCTTGGAGAACAAGGCCGGTAGTGGGGACTTAATCCATTCTTTTCCGGTTGCCTGTGCGTCAATTTTCGAGAGGGCAGATTGATAAGCAGTTGGGGGCACTGATGCAGTCCTCTTGTTTGTTGTTTCATTCCTATATCTACATTCAAGCCTGTGTTTCTTTTTCTTTTTCTTTTTTCTTTTTTTTTTTAAGCCTGTGTTTCCGAGCTACTTTGTTGGACCATTTCCTTCGTGCTGTCAATTCCTGCCCATTGGTGATTGGCAGTAGCAAGATTGGGGGAAGAAAGGAATAGAGGTAAAACAAAGAGGGGAAATAGAGGAAGAGCAGGCAAAGGTGTTCAGGAGAGAGAGAGAGAGAGAGAGAGAGAGAGAGAGAGAGAGAGAGAGAGAGAGAGAGAGAGAGAGAGAGAGAGAGAGAGAGTCTCTGACACAGACATATGCACAAACATATACACGAAAGAATTTCTGAGCTAGCAGGTTGAGTTTTGGTGGCTGGCTGTAGCAGTTATTGGGGGAAGGAAAGACTTTCTCTTCCAGGCTAACTTCTTCTCGCTCTGGCCCTCTGCCAGGACCGCCTAATGCTGGTGCCGGTGGGGAGGCATCAGGTCGGTCCGCGATCGCATCGAAAGGAGGTGGATCATCGTGGCTATCTATTCCCCTTCCTCCTAGATTACGCCATGTGCGATCACACAGTTTATTAAGTCGCCCTTCCACTGGCTCGTTGAAGGATACCTCCTCCCTGACCCCAGTGCCAGTGCTAGCTGCTGATACTGTGGATCGTAAGAGCACCAAGAAAGTTTGTGGCAGTGGGATTTCCGCCTCTAAGGCATCTCAGCGTGTCTCACTTAATGTCACAGTTGTATCTTCGGCCACTCGCAGTGGCTCTTCCCAGGGGGGCTCTACTGAAGGAGGCCGGTCACGGCTGTATACCCCATGGGGCCACGACGTTCATCCGGTGGCCTTGTGGGCGGTACGCCATCTGGTGGCAGGAGATCGAGTGGCCGTCTGTCTGGAAATCCTGTCAAACGTGGGTGGGTCAGGGATTACGGGCACTACTAGCTAGTCCCCTGAAAGGTCTGGGGATGGCGGTCCCAGTGCGTCCTAATTGCAGTCTCCGGGCTAACTATGGTTCTCAGACCACGTCGCGGAGTCATCGTGCACCTCCTTGACAGCGTCGGACTGTGGTAATGCTGCCACGTCACATCGTTGCCAAGGGCCACTTCAATCAAGGAATTTGAATGGCAATGAAAGGAATGTGACTGCTGTGACAGGATCGATGTCGAAGGCTAACCGTATGGGGGCATTGCCATGTGAGTCTGGGACATCATCAGATTCTGGCCTTTACAGTCAGAGGAGGGAACATGGCTTGGAGAGTGGAGTGGAGGAGGTGCACTGCAGAGCCCCCTCAAGGGGTATCATCATATGTGGAAGGGAGGGTCGGGAGGTTATGCAGGCCCATTGCAGGGTCATCAAGACAGCATACAGTGGGTGGCCCGAATAGAATGCCTGGAGGTGTTCTTGGCAATATGCCCATAAGGAAAGTGCAGCCTGGCAGCTACACCTGGTGCAAAGCAGCTGTCCTCTGCTGCCACACCAAGTGGCAAGTGGTAGGGTGCGGTCGGGCTCATTCCTGTTCGATCGGTTGGCCCGTGCGACACGCGCTGTTGGGAGGAAGGCAAGCGGCCAGGAAGAGATGGGGACCTCTCTATCATCAGGTGGTCGTTCTAGCGAACGTTCATCGCGGATGGCTCTCTCTAATGCATCCTCCCCCACAAGGAGGGACTTGCCCCTTTCTAAGCAGGTGGACTATGAGAGGTCCCCATTCCTGCAGTTGATGTGAAAGAAGCACAAGTGGATAGAGAAGTCCAAGGAATGAGGGATTATGTCTCTGACTCGGACTCAGAGACTGTGTCAGCGTCCGGTGCTGGCCTCATAGCTGAAGGTCCTCAAAGAGATGCCAATCCGGCTGTCCCTGCATCTTTGCGGCCTCCTGGATGGGAGGAGGGGGGTGAAAAAGGTGAGCAAGAAGAATGCAAAGTGGAAAAATAATAACAATAATCAGGGACAGGGCGTAAGAACAGAAGAAAAAGTGGAGGATGTTGAGGGAGCTGTGAACCCACAGCCATATGAAAGTATTACCCCCCGAAGCTGAAAATGAAGAAGAGGGAAGGGGGAGTTGCCGGAGGGATTGGACCGAGGGAGGATTTTGACATAGAATCTGATTTGGATGATGCAGAAAACCGGAGAAGAAAATCTGCAATATTTCGATCTGGAACACTCTCTACGTGGCTTCAGGACACACCATCAATAATGCCGAAATCCCAGGGCATCCCCGATGAGCCACAGACACCTCGAGTAGTTCTGAAAAATGGCTCACTGGTAACTCTCTACTCGAATGGCCAGCGCCTTCAAGTTGCTGCCATTCGTCAGAATGGAAGGTGGGATCTTGGCGTGCATCTGAATGCTTCCGGGTCAGCAACAAGCCCACCAGAATGCATATTCACTCTCATGTGCAGTCCTAATGGGCGCTTTGGTTTTCGATCTCTTTATGCGGAAGGAATGACTTTTCATGCTGGACGGAATAGGAACTCTAACGACTATTTCGGCAGGTGGACTTTCAAGGATTCTGAGGCATGGAAGGTGGTTCCCTTGCAGGGATCCGCTGCAAGTAACACAGTGGATCACAGTAGGGGGAATAGCAGAGTGAGAGGAGAGGGTAACGAGGAGGGGCTTGTGGAAGGACGGGTTGTACTGGTTAATTGGAAGAGACGTGAGTGAAGGCTGGAGGTCTCCATCTGGGCACTTTGCAGTACAACAAATTCTGTCCTGAAGAGGTTGCAAGGCAAAGCATTGAAAGCAAGCTGTGCTGAACAGGTTCCTTCTCTGCAGAGACAGGGGCAAAATTTGAGGGATATGGTTAGGGAGGAGAGGGAGCAACACGATGCAGAAATGATGCATGCGGTTGCTGACAAGGCCAATGTGGAAGACACACAAAAAAAAAAAAAAAAAAAAAAAAAAAAAAAAAAAAAAAAAAAAAAAAAAAAAAAA